CCAAGCCGCTCCCTATAATCCAGCTACCGCACTGTGGGGCCGGCGCCAAGGTCCCAGCGAAGGCGAGGACGTGCTACCCTACCCGGCCCCTGCCTGCGTGCGTTTGGCCATCCCCGGAACGCCGCGGTGCGGGCCCCGCTCTCAGCATTGTCTTCCGGTAACAGTTTCGCTTTCATTCCCCGGGATCAGCGGAAGAACGAGGCGATGATCTGGCAAGGGAAGGAAACTGGTGCTGGGCTTGTAACGCGGCCACTTGCTTATTTACTCTTTGACTTCAGGCGAGTTGCTGAAATAATCTAGACCTCGGCATGATCGTCTGTAAAACAGATCGATAAACAGAAAATAAACCCCTCAAAATAATAGTGGTTTCTAATAGCAAACACTACCAGGATATGTGCTTGTTGTTATTTCTTTAAAATATTTGACGCATTTGGTAAAAGAAGCATTGGGCATCAAAGGTGCAGTCAGTTCTGTATCTGAGTAGACATGCCCTTAAACTTCAACCTTCAGCACCTACTTTATTTGCATACTGGTTTAATGTTAAACAAGCCATCGAGCAATACCAGATTTACTCTGGCTAGAGGGCAGGACCCAGGACTGTGTCATGAGGAGAACACAGGGCTTGAGAAGATGCATCAGCTGACAGCCCTAAAAACCAGCAGTCTCTTTTCATCTGCAAAACATTGGCCCTAGACTAAGAAAATAGTGTGTCACATTCATGTTTCTCGGCTTAAACTTGTCCATTGAGTTCTGATGTGGTTGCTTCTTCTGTAAGAGTATGACAGCTTTTAAGCATCATATCAGCCACTGAACAACACAGTACCCAAGCCTTTCCCTTTCAGCCCTTGCAGGCCTGGGCTGGACATCTTAGAGGTTAAAAAGCGGGGTGGGGAGGGGGGAGGAAAGAGTCTACTGAGCTGTCCAGCTGCATTGCCTTTTCCGTTTTCAGAGATTTTTTAGAGCAAAGAACTTTTTAACCTTTAGTAATACATCAATGGTTGCTTATTTAAAGAGCCAATAACTGAAAAGTAAAAAAGTTCTTATTATTCCTTATTTTTTTGTAGGTAAAAGATACCCTTCTTTAGTTTTTGGGACGCCCAAGTCATCCAAGAGTTTAATTGCGAAAAACAGTCCTCTCTGGCAATACATACTGGATCACTCTCTGCGGGAACATCCAATTCTAAAGAAGCTGCGTCTGGTCAGTGTCTCCCACACCTCATCCTGAACTGCTGGGATCCTTGTGACATTCCTTCCCCCATCTTATTTGCATACACCCTAGACGGTTTTTTGAACTAGTAATATCCAGATTCATCAATGTTGAGGGCTACCTATGTGAGCATTGAATAGTATTGACATACATTTTTGACATGTCTTTCTATCTCCGGCTCCCAAGTCCATGTGTTTGGGATGCATTTGATTTTGACTTGAACAGATGACTTCTGTTCATTTTAGCTGGCATATAAGGAACCTGTAGCAGAGAGAGGTGATGTCCTTCAGCAGGCTCCAGTGTCAGAGATCAAACATGACATGGTGACTCAGGATTGAATCATTTCAGGTGAAACAAACTGCTCCTGCATAAAATCAGTGAAATGCTAAGTACTGGAACAGGTTGGTTGCAATGAGCCCTAGAGGAAGAAAGGAAATGGGAGGACATATTTTCCCTTCAGCTGTCATGGCACAGCCCTGCTTCTCCTGTTGCCCCCTCCTCAGTGCCAGGAGCCCTTCCACCCTGTCATGGGCTCAGCCCCTCCAGCTCTGCACTGTGTAGTCAGAGCTACAGGGTGTGACCTTTGGCAACAGATGGTAACCAGCAGTTCATAAAAGCATTCTACATGTCTTGAAGGAAGTGCACCTGTTTATGTAAATTCACAGAAATGAAGGAGTTTTGCAGTCAAGGTTGCTCTATGATTTTTCATGAGTTATAAATATTGCTGAGTTTGCCACAGCTGTGGTAACTTTGGGGTATATTACTGCTTTGAATATCACTCTCCTTAGTTACAGGTAAACTCAACCCAATTTCTGGCTCGTAGATGGAGCACAAAGCCGTCTAAAACGAGAAGGTTATCTGTTTTTAGGGTTATCTGTTTTTCCTGGAGTTTCACTTTTTTTTCCCTAGAATATTGGTTTGGTAGCTTTGGGATTGTTTTGCTGTGATGTGCTATATTTTTTCCCTTCTCTCTAGCTCACCCTTGAGCATCCCTGGGGCAGAATGATGGTGTCTTGTGACGAGGCTCAGCTTATGGCAAACTTGGTCAAACTCATTAAAGCCAAGAAAGTTATTGAAATAGGTAAGAGTGTCACTCTGTAGTAAAACTCCTGACTGTTCTTCTCCACATACACCATGTATAACATAAGATATTCAAATACAGTAAGGCACTGCATACCTGTTGTAGCAAACAGATGGTCAAACTACAGCATGAAAAGGAGTGTTGAATTTGCACTTGCTTGCCACTTCGTGCATTCAGTAGTTCTGGCATCAGCATGGTTGGCTCATCAGTTCCAAGGGAGTCTGAAAAAATGAGATCAATAGATCACTTGGGTCTCCAGCAGTTGCAAGACAGGGTGTATTCTTTCCTTCCTGTATCAGTTTCTTGCCAGAAGAAAGTATTTTGCTGCACAGGCCATGAACCCAATCCACTTTCCTTGATGCACCTATGTTAGCAGGATGTCCCAAGCCAGACTGATGCTGAGCAGCCAGGTATGGATTCCCACCATCTTTGTTCTTGGCCTGGCTCTTAAAATGCCCTGATATTTTGCTGCTCATCCAGTCCCTTTGGGTCAGATATGCAGGGCCTTGTCTGTCCAGGAGACTTTTGGAAAAAGCCAACATTTCCTCAAAGACTGATTTAAAAAAAAGTGAAATTGGAGGAGAAAAATCTCTAAAATCCCCAAAGGAGTCAAGGATGGGAATTTGTTAATGGACAGTATTCCTGAAGAGAGCCATGTAGTTCACTACTTATTTATTTTTTTCCACAATACAATAAGTGCTGATGACTCCTATGGTTTTCCTAGGTGTTTTCACAGGTTATAATGCCTTGAATATGGCACTTGTCCTGCCAGATAACGGCCGAGTTATTGCCTGTGATATAAACGAGGACTATGCCAAAATTGGAAAGCCACTGTGGAAGGAGGTAAGCAGCATCTCCTGTTACACATTTGGGACAGCTGCATTTACAGGTGAAGAGATTTTGGTATTTTAGACTTGCACATTCACACAGAAGTATTCTTATCATTAAAGGAGGCTGAAACAGTTCAGTTTGGGAAGACAAATAAGTGGTGTCTGGAACCTAGAAATAATAGGAAAACTATCTGAACACCAGTCATTCCCTAAGTGCAATCTACTAACAGGTTATTTCTTGACCACTTTTAACTCCCTGTTCTTTTTCATTTCAGGCAGGAGTAGAGCATAAAATTGACCTGCGGATTAAGCCAGCAATTCAAACACTTGGTAAGTAACCAGAATTAACTTTTTGTTCCCCCTTCCCTAGAAATAGAAGAAGGTTACAATAATGATGAAATGTAAGACCAAATATGGTTGTGAATGTGATCCCTTTTGCTAACAGACAGCTTCTCTTATATTAAAAAAAAAAAAAATCTTTAGAAGTTCACAGTTTTCCTACCTACTAGCAGAGAGGAGGAAAATGCTTGTCCTATGTAGTGGGCTCTACTAGTCACTCACCTGTCCTGTCCATCACTTCGTTTAATCTATGAAGTACTATTGTCAGCTGCTGCTGGGAAAGCTGATTAAAACAGATTAATTAGATGAAGGCCAGTTTCTGTTATCCATTGTCCATGCTAAGCAAGTATTCTTTTGTTACGGACAGAAAGAGTTTTCTGAAAGGGCTGAAGTGCATAAAAAATTCAGAAGCCAATGTAAAACTTAGAGCACAGTAGTTGAACTGTATTCAGAGAAGTTCAAATTTAGGATGTGCCAAAAGCATGCAAGGCCATTAGCAATGCAATTACTTTTCTCATTCAAGGAAAGAGAAAACATGGAGCAGAGGAAATATTAATAAGTATTCTGAAAATGCCAGAAATTTTCTAGGATTCTTGGAGGCAGAAGAAAGTTTCCAGCAAAGGTGTTTGATGGATCCACAGATCTATTCATAACCTTGTAGTACTTCCAAATTCATCCATCCTTTTCCAAAGAGGCAAATACAAGCACATTGCTAGTATACACTGTCCTTGAAGTCTATCAAACAACTCTGTCTAGGAATTGCTTCAGAAGAAACGATGCTCTGTTGACAGATGGTAAGGGCAGGTGAGAGGGGTGGCAGCAAACCTTACAAAACAGCAGGCAGCCATCCTCAACTGGCAATTTGGAGTTTAGGAGAACTTAAAACTGAATGTCACTTGCCTTAGCCTAGAGAGGGAGGACTACTTAGATCAATCTTTTGCTGTAATAAATATCTCTTGACAGGGTTTGCTTATGATCTGTGTCATGGCACTTGATCTTCAACAAGAGATTAGCATTTAGAACCTTTTCATAAATGTGAGAAAAATTCTAATCCACTCAAGAAAACAGTTCTCAGCTCAAAAACAGCTGAAGGTGTAGAATGTGTCCAGTTTCAAGCTGCTTGATTTGTTTTTATTGCACCTTTCAAGAGTCCCAGCTGTATCTTGCAGTTTTAGAGCTACTCCATGAACTCCTAAGCAGGCAGGACTCAGTAACTGAGTGTTTTATGGCATACATCATGTCTAGATTGGTTTCTGTGGGATAGGCTTTTCTAGTAATTACCTGTGGAGGAATAGGCTGCCTGGTCAAGGCAGCAAAAAACGTTATTTAACAAGAACTTTGACAGAAATGGATTATGTCCTCCTACACAGCATCAACCAGGGTGTAACGACTCACTTTGTTGCTCATCTAGATGAACTGCTGGCCAGCGGAGAAGCGGAAACCTTTGACTTTGCCTTCATTGATGCGGATAAAGAGAGCTACAATGAGTACTATGAAAAATGCTTGCGACTCATAAGGAAAGGGGGAATAATAGCCATTGATAATGTAAGTACTGCAGTTGTAGTGGTAATAGCACAGGGACTTACTGCTTTTGGCTGTGGGAAAGGAAAAAAAAAAAGTCACAGTGGGATTCTAGTCAAGTGATTTCTGACCTGCAGCTGGGTTGCCAGTTGCGACATGTTTGTTCCATGTTATACAAATGAAAATAAAATTCAACATAAACACTTAAAGTAAGCCAAACAAAACACTAATATAGAGAAGGAATAAAACCCTGTAGAAGTTAAAAGTAATGTGTTAAATTTATGTTAGTACATAAACAGTCTGTGATAACAGAAAGTTAGAATTTTTTTTGTATTTCATTACAGGGAATGCTCTGTATTATTCTGGTTTGTCTTGTAGTGCAGTACTTTCAGTACAATGTACAGTACTTACACAAGATCAAAAGTAGCACTTTTAATCAGTAACTACTAATAAGTTATTAATTTCTAACTTTTACTAGAAACAAATAATGTTAAAACTTCAGGCACCTTGAGGGTTACAGTGGCAGTGGAATAGGGGCTTTTAAAAACCTTATGTTTAAACACATCTTTTTTATTTTGGCTTCTAATCTACAGTAGAATTACAAATCTTTGGACTCCCATTCCCACTTACTAATGAGAGTTCCATGTCAGAGACCATTAGAAGTCTGAAATACAATAAATAATATAAACTTCTAAAAACTACGCAGGACCTTTTCCAAAGCTTCCTTTGTGGTCCAAGGGTCACACCGGAACAAATGAGATGCATAACAGTTCTTTTTTCAATAGGTCCTTTTTGGTGGGAACGTGCTAAAACCAAGGAAGGACGACTTGGCAGTGCAGAGCATCCACCGCCTCAACGAGAAGCTGCTCCGAGACTCCCGCATCAGTATCAGCATGCTCCCCATGGCGGATGGAGTCACACTGGCATTCAAGCTGTAGCTCCAGGAAGCCCAGCAGATGGGAAATAACAAGCAGCGGCGAATCATCAGGAAAAATGCCAGTGGAGCAGTATCAAAAATGGTAATTTAACCTTTATCTCCACTGGATAGCATAGCCTGGGAGAGTAGACTTTAGGAGCAGCAGTGTCCTAAGGGTGGCTAAGTAGAGAAGAGAGACTTATTTTGAGAACTACTCTGGTTTCTTATTTTAATTGTAATAAAGCAAATAAACTTATGGGAAATGTTCCTTGTAAGACAGTGGTTGAAAAAAAATCTCCCTCTATTGAATGTCTGAGTTCCAAGTGAGTCAATACAACAAGGTAATTTTCTATCCTCAAATAGGCTCTTGAGTAGCAGAATAATTGGTCCTACCATCAAAAGAAGTGGAGTTTACTAATGTTTATAGCCATAATAGAAAAATGGATTTTAATGAAATGACATCAAGGAGATTGCTATCCTTCTCAAACTACAAATATTGAAAGTCATTCTTTATCCTTGAAGAGTACTACATAACAAGTCTCAAATAGACATGATTTGAAAAAAAAAAAGCTCTCTTTAAAAGCTTGCCAAAGGACAAACAGTATTTGCTGTACATTTGCAATACAGTATTTGCACTCTCTGAAACCTTTGTGCCCAAGGTCTGGGTTTCTTTCACCTACGTAACAATGCAGGTAGATTTTTTTGAAGTCAGAATGAGGAAGAGCAGATGGGCAAGAAGTAAACCAAAACAATTCTCCCTCCTTCCTTTCTCCCTCCCACTTGCCCTCAAAGAAGCAACTTGCTAGGTGCTTGTTTCCTAGAAAGTTGAAAGCACAGAGCATTGGTGGCAAGTCTACAGAAGGATTGTGATTGTATGAGGACACAGTACAGCTGTTAACTGGCTATTCAAATCAGTACTGCAAGCAGAGATTCCCTTTCCTAGGCAGCATGTAACAAAATTTCAGCCTGAAATTCTTAGTGCAGATGAAACCTAATTACATAAACAAGAAACTGAAAGTAGAGTTTTACAAACAGAAGCTTCACTGGTAAATGTTTTGGAGGACTGATAACAGTGGAAGGGTACCATATGTATAGAGGAAAGAGATCTTTATATTTTTTGATCTCCTGTAGGGAAGCTATATCACAGCTAAAAGAATACTTCTTCCATTTGCTTAAATAGTGCACTTGAATGACTCAAGACACTGGGGGACAAAGATCTCAAGTCTCAGAATTGTTAAAACTGTCTAGTTGGCTCATATTTTTTAAATTCCAGCTGGGTGGCTTGGGTTCTGGTAAGGGGCAGAGGTTCGGGGCATGGGTCTTGCCTGTCTCGGACACTTGTAGCTTACTGCAGTGGGAGAGCAGTGAAGAAAAGAAGCATTGCCTGATGACTTCAGGGTCAGGTTATGACTGAGATCTCAATTCTATTTCTGTCACTTCCACTTAAAACCCTGATTCAGCAGAGCATGTCAGGATGTGCTTAAGTACTTTGCTGCTTTGAGGACTGACTGCAAAATCCATGTCTGGGAGAAGGCCAGCACAAGGTGCATGTGGCCCTTAAATGGGAATTTAAATAGGGTGTAAAGTTTGCCCAATTTCTTTCCCTGAGTGCAATTTTACCCTTAGAGCTTCAAACCTCTGCATGCTGCAAATTTCTTATCTGCATAAAAGAAATAACACCTTATTAAATTTTTAATTACTATAACAGCTCTCAGATAGAGTGGCTAAAGGAATATACAGGATCATTATACATTTGCATGCAAAGCTTCTGGCCGTGTTCTACTTTACAATTTTACTTTGTCGGTAGATAACAAAAAAAATCATAAGGGTTAAAAACACAAAATGGGACACTTTCACAGCTGGGGCATCCCCTCAAATATTCCTGCCTTCAGAGGCTGTAGACTGATAATCATGAGCAAGCTACAAGGTGTTAAGAACACATACCTTGTCCTAAAATTACCATGATGGCCTTTCCCAAACATGCAGAAGTCACTGAAAGATTGATCACCGACTCTGCAACTGTTTGCCACTAATTTCCAAGTTGAAAGAACCCTCTCGGTACAGTTGAGCCAAAAACAGGCAAGCATTGTGAGTATTTCTGCAAAAAACTGTCAAATAAAAGTTTAGCAACATTCAAAACCAATACAAACAATCAGAGTTCGTGAATTCAAAAACTCCAGTTCCTTGAATGGTAGGAACTGTCAAAGTCCCCATTACCTGTGCTAAAGGAAGACCTATAAGTGCCTGAGGCTGAAGCCAGGTACAGCAGCAGGTTAGCATCTTGCCTCTGCTTTGGACTCTGTTCCATTTTAAATATGCAGAGCATAGTGTGAGCATTTCATCAAACCTGTCTCCATCCTGATCATCTAATTACCATTAGAAAGAATAGCAATGTGTCCCTAAACTATAGATTGATGAGCCATCTGTAAGCTGAAACAAAGAGCAGAAGGAAGCTTAATTGAATCAAATATTTAGAATACATTACACTATCTTGTAGCTACTCAGAAGCTGGCCTTCTCTTCAGGCTTCTGTCCTGCGCATCTGGAATTCATCACCACTAACTGCATTTAATCCTTCAACCTTACTATAAAGTGACTGCTGATAATATATAATTATGGTTTAATTCAAGTAGTGAATCAGCTTCGGGGAATTTGTGGGGACAATGGGAATTTAGGCTTTCATTAGGTGGTGAAAATGGACCACCCAATAATGCAATGCAAGTCTTTGTCTCTCTCTAATGGAAACATCATGTATGGAAGCTCATGGCTCTGCTCATGCCTCTCAGGTAATACAGCTGCCTGAGCTACTGCTTGCACTACAGAGTCTCAGTATTTTCTACCCCTTAGGAGGAGCTGACCCAGGGGCACAGCTTTTGCCCAAACTATACCACCCAGCTGTTCCTGTAACACTGGCATGTCTTCTAGTTGCAAGGATTGACCCCAGAGAGGCCAACACAGGTGACAAATGTACAGCTGGGACATGCTTAGAAGCAAATGCGGCTGAAGGATAGTGCATAAAAAACCAGCCAAACAAACAAGAGAACAAAACTAAAAAAACAAGAACAGAACAAAAAAAGAGAATTCCCCCTAATGTGGTAACTCCCAGAAGCCACCATGAGAATGAGAGCATGTGACCCTAACTGCTGGTCTGGTGTCTCAGTCCCTGCTCCAGAGATGTCACTTTCAAAATGGTATGACCTGATATTTAGGTGGGTGACAGTAAGGAACAGAAGACTCTTTAAGAGTAGACTTTGTATCTCTACTTGCTAATTAAATGAGCAGACAAGGCTCATTAACATGCTCTCCCTTTGTGCTGGCCCTCTTCAGTATTCCCAGAAGAAGAATAGCAAGAGCTTGAAGTTCTCTACAGAATGGAAAACACTCAGGACTGAGACTGGATGCTCCAAAATCTAGAGAGAAGGCTGTCCCAGAAAGAAGAAACAACTTGTTGTCCAAGGGTAGATGCAGGGGTTCCGGAATGCTCAAGGCTCACTTCTGCATTTTCAACACTGCAGCTTTTAATCCTGCTGAGATATGTGGGGGATGAAGCAGAGCATCATAAGTGTCTCATGTTCCTGCAGGCCTAAAGAAAAACTGGGCTACTGAGTGTAGCATAACATAGAGGCACTTGTTTGAACATCTGACACTGCCTTCACTCCTTCTTTTAACAAACTCATGAAGTGGTTTTAATCTGTTTGAATTCAGTCATGGTACTTTCTGTGAATTGCTGCTCATGGAAGGCAATTAGCAAGCTTTTTTATGACAAAGCCCTTAGGATACAGGGAAAGGAATATGAATATAAACCTCATCCAAATTCCTTCCTTTGAGTCATGAGCAGTTCTCCAGAAACCTTGCAGCTCAGATCTGAAATGTGCTGCAATCTTGATATTGGGGTGGCAACAACAGCAAGTTCCATGACTTTCAGCTGGCTCCTTTTTGACAATGTAGCATAGTTGGCTGCATTCCTGTTTATGTTCTCCCCATGTGCTGGTTTGGGCTGGGATAGAGTTAATTGTCTTCATAGCTGCTAGTACAGGGCTGTGTTTTAGGCTTGTGCTGGAAACAGTGTTGATAATACAGGGATGTTCCCCTCACCTCACCCCACCAAGGAGCAGGCTAGGGATGCATGAAAAGTTGGGAGGAGAGAAAGCTGGGCCAGCTGACCGAAGATATTCCATATGGCATCATGCTGAGCATATATAATGAGGGGAAGATGGAAAAAAGGGGAGACATTCAGAGTGATCGTGTTTGTCTACCCATGTATGATTGAGCCCTCCTTTCCTGGAGATGGCTGAACTTGGATGGCCTGCAGATAGGTAGTAGTGAATGAATTCCTTATTTTGCTTTGCTTGCATGCACAGCTGCTGGTTTTTTGTTAAACTGTCTGCATCTCAACCCATGAGTATCCTCACTTTTACCCTTCCAGTTCTTTCCCCCATCCCACTGGAGGTGGTGAGCATACAGCTGTGTGGGGCTTAGTTGCCAGCTGGGTTTAAACCACAACACCGTACTAGAGTTGAGATTAATACTGCTTGGTTTTATCCTTCCCATCTATTGAAACTGCACAGGTCTCCTCCATCCCTGACACCACTTTTGCACTTATGGAATGTGACCATGCTGAGCAGCTCCATCCCTTCTTCCAAACAATGGCTTGACCAACACATTCAAATAACCCTCAAGCTCCCCACACACCAATGATCTGGGCCCACCTCTAAGTGGTTTGCAGCATGTTTGATTTTACTGCTCATTTCATTTTAATGGGAGAGGCAGTACTATCATGTCCTTCCCAGAATGAAAATGTGAAAAGCCATAAATAAAAAAAGAAGGTGCTTTGGGGAAGGATTGCTGATGGCATCCCAACCAAGTACTGAGCAGGAGAATGACAAAGTTGGTTCTTCCCTCTTTGCACACCTAAGAGCTGCAAATGAGCATTCCTGCCACTGTGAGCACTGAAGTTTCTTCAGAGAAACTTAAAGAATCATTTTGCTTCCACACTCACCAGTTGCTCTGCATTCTGGTCTGCCAAGCCTTGTCCCAGGGCTTTGGCATTTCCCTGCTGCTGCACGTTGTGCTAGTGATTTGCACTGGGCTGAAAGGCTCTGCCGAGTGTAAAGCATTACCTCTGCATAATTCTAATCACACACAAATTGGTCTCATGCATTTGCAGCTACTCATGGTTTCCAAGTCACCTGTTTTATAATAATTTTAAAGGCAATGTTTTGAAAAAGGAAATGAACAAACATAAAGCCTGCAAAAGAGGGAAATTAATGTGGGATTTCAGACAAGTTATTTATCTTCCTTTTTGGCTCAGTGCAATACTGTAGGGATAAGCACATAACTAGCTGCTTTAATATTTACTCCTATTATAAGAAAAGTAAACATTGCTGATAAGTCACTGATTTCCAGGATTAGATTTCATATTTTAGAGACTGCTTTAAATTAATGCAGATGCAAACATTATCTTTTCTTCTTATTCATATATTTCCCTAATGAGTTCCAAGCAAATTATGCCTACTTATATTTTATGATTTTAAATAATTAAAACATTTTATGGAGGCAACTAAAATTCTCCCCAGAGTTAGCAGAAAGATTATTGATTGAACAGATCTCAGGCTACAAGGAAAAAATTATTATTTAGTTTAAAGG